TTTAATTATAGAGAGGAATATAATGTGTGGTTAGCAGAAGTCCCAAATTATTATGAGACACATTTAATTATAGAGAGGAATATAATGTGTGGTTAGCAGAAGTCCCAAAATTGCTAGTGGAGGAGAATAAAAACTGGCAACTATATATAGGCTTGCGAGTCCATAAGTTTAGGCCTGAATGTACAAGTGCATCAAAGGCAGTTACGTGAAACTAACATTTTTCAGATGTAAAATATACTAATTTAAATAATTCGGTTTATTGATCGGGAATTTGCCGAACTTACAAGTAGTTGTGTTGTGCATTTCCATAGAAATTTTTTTTAATGTGTTAGAAAGATTCAAATTACACTGTATTTCATTGTTCATTTTATTAGACACATAAAACTTAACAGTACCACATTACTATCAAACATTTTGAAAGCCACAGTCATCAATACATCTCTGCTTGTATCATTGAATAAGATAATTTCTATTTAAACAAAAAAAAATTTTAACCATACTATACATAAAGTTAGATGAGGCCGTCATTGAAAAGCAAAAATTAAATCAGCCGGTAGATATTGACATAACATGCATAACTTTAACCAATTTTTCTTCAAACTATAGAAATTTGAGGTATTTAAAAATTTAATTATGTTTTGTAGTGTGTGCCCTTTATTGTTCATACGAAGAAAAAAGGGTTAATGTTTATATTTGAGGACAAATTACACTTTTTTACTCTGAGTCATTAGGCACGGGATGGCTGCTTGAAAAAATTTAAAATTGCTTTACATTTAACATCAGTTTGTAAGTCAGGGACATATTTTTAGTGTATTAATTCCAAAGAGAGCTTTCTGGAACTCTCTCTTTTAAAATTCTGAATAGAGAGTTGAACTCCTTATGGTATCTGGATTTTAAACTGCCCATCAATGTGGAAGAATCTGTACTAGTTTCCAGGCTATGAAGGAGTAAAACCCATCTAATATTCCATACAACACATACAAGTTGCACAATATAATATCTAGTTTCTCAGCTCCAAAAAGGCATTTTCCCCGTGTTTTTTTTTTTTTAAGAGTTATGTAACTGAATGCTATTGAGAGAAGAGTTTTTGTGGGCTAACAGATCAGGCTCTGTAGCAAGAGTACTTTTTTTTTGGTTCTAACTTGAATACAGGAAACTGTGCCACCCCTTTGTACCCATTCAAGCCTCCAAATTCTGTATCATGAACTCGTATCATTCAATTCCATCCCCCATCAGTAACCCAGGACAAATCAGAAGAAGACTAGGCTTTATATGATGGTGAGTAAGATATGCATGGTGTTTTTTTACTGTCTTTTTTCAATTTATATAGCTTTTGAAGAATATATAAAAATAATGCTGATAATTTATTCTTCTGTATTATTGAGAAACAAGCTGTGTAGGGCACTTAAAATAAATATTGTTTGCCGACTATAAAATACTAAATTACTAGCATTATTAAAATCCTATATCATTACGGTGAACGTAAGTATATAATTCAAATTCGATGACGAGACGGCTTGAATGGGTAATGAAGAAAAACTTTAATATAAGTTTAACATAACAGCAAATGTACAACGTTTTGACAAGCCGTCTTCAACCATTATAAGTATATAATGTTTTACATTTTATTTTAAAGGTCTTAATACCAAGTGTATATTTATATTACATTAGAAACTCAGGATAGAAAAATATAACTCCTTTTAGCTATCAAATGCGTGTTTAAGAAATAGTGCCAAAAAAAACACACGGTACTTTTTTGAAGTGCGGTCTGGATTATGTTTTACTACTTTCAGTTTCATTTCCGAGAACCGTATCTTGTATATATATACATCATTCAAATATTTGATTCTTTGGTATCTAAAAATTCTCACCCATGTGTATTTTAATTTTTTGGATTGTTGGCCGAGAAATAATATCAGTGATCTTTAATTAGGCCCTAACAGGATATTTTAAAATGTACAGTACCTCTCCATGTATTAACGAACACTAATATGATAGACATTTATATGAAAACGTGTAAAAAATTACTTCTAATTTCTAAAATATATTGCGAAAGATTATAAACATGTATACTATGAATGCTGTTGCGTTTGTAAAATTTGTACTTTTTTATATATGATGATATATTCAACAAAAAAAAATGATAATTAACTTCCTAACCTCCTTAATATCGTAAAATTATTTGGTTAGGGCAAGCAAATAGTTTTCTAGGCTTTCGTAAACTAAGAATCAGTTTATATGTAGCATATTAGGCAACACATTTTAAACAAATATTTTTATAAGTGCTGTGAGTTTCAAAACTACTTTTCTAACTATTAAAGATCAAAATCTGTGTTTTTGAACTCTGCGGAATAATGTAAGATGTTGGTTTAAATGAAAACATAAAGAAACTAAAAAGTGTTTTAACGATCTTTTTCAAGTAAACTACATAAATTTTGTTTTCCAATTAATAAAGCATTGTCAAAAGAAACTTGAAATCCAGTTTAGTTTCTGTTAATGGTTCAAGAATAAAAGCTAATTTTAAAACGTGGCATTAATGCTTCGTCATTATATTTTAATACATTTTTGTTCCAAAGAATAAAAGTAAAAAAAAAAAGTCTGAGAAAACTGTCTTATCACAATTTTACTATTTTTAGCAACAATGAACCACTAATATTTAATTTCAACAAAGATTATTATGAACATGAAAAATATAGCCAATAACGGATTCTAAATCATTTAAAACACTTCCATCTAACAAAATAGT